GTAAGCTCTATGTGTATATGCTCCACCCGCACAGGTAACGGTTTCATTTATAAGTGCACAAGAGATAACATCTGCATGCTGATCCCAGCAGCACTCCCTCTGCCCTGCCTCCCCATCTGTCCCCAGGTCTGAGTTACCAAGAGGTAGCAGAACCATCAGTCCAAGCGTGTGTTAGCTTGTCTGACCGGTCAAAGACCCATATTATGCTAAAACAACGTTCACGTCACCAATTTACATACTAAAGCAGAAAGACTGAATTAAAGAAATTGTTTGGATTCTGTAAGGAATTTGGGTGGAAATTCTTCCTCAGCTGGAATTCTGAACGCTCAGCATTACCATCAGGGCTTAAAGGAAACGGATAGAAGTCAAGTGGGACCACTCAGACAAGGCTCACTTCCTCTTTCTCATTTCACATTTAACTCATTCACTCCTGTGTCCGTGGGAGATGAATCACAGATGATGGCAATATCATCAGCAAGTAACCACTCAAAATGTATTCTTTCTCATGTCTAGATAAAATTCTAGTAACTAGTGGTGCCTATGTGAAAAGGTTCCATGTGAAACTGGAAACTGAAGTTTCAGAAGACAGCAACACAGGCATAGCCCCAGGGTAAGCGGATTACTCAATATTCTGCACTTCTGGAGCAGGCTGACCTCATCCACCCTCAGCAGCAGATGTTCCATCTCTGAAACAATACTTTACCCTCCACATCCCAGATCAGGCTGAGGACACTATCCTGCAGCTCATCTACACCCCGCGGCACATCCCTGAAGTCACACCAGAACTAATATCTCTATACACTGCCTGCCTCACAGATCATATTATTAAAACTGCTCCATTTTGCATTGCAGGAGATTCATGTTTTGATAGACAAACTACACCAACAGTGTTTATGTCCCCCCTGGCTCTTCCACAATTCCTGGTCTTTCTCTGGAGTCAGTCCAAGTCCCCACTAGTAGCACATGCTCCCTAGCCAGGTAGCCTTACATAGAGAAAAGGGTCATACAAATATTTCATCTAGGTCTCGATCAACAGTTGAAACAGAAACATTTATTTCCATCCTGACTACTTCCTGGAGAAGTCCCAGGGTAGAGGCTGCCATCCTCATGCAGTGAGGGGTGCTGTGACATAAAAACCTGGTTGAACCATCACAGCCGAGCAATCGCTGCAAACATTATTTCCTCCAGTTCCTCTACAGCCAGGCTGTAACTGTTTCTGCTTGTGCTTCTGGCTTACAGATGTATGCCACCCACAGTTCTTCCACTTGGAACTTGGAGTAAGCAGCCCTAAGGTCAGGCTTGCGCTCTCACAGGCACTGGCACCACTCAGGGTTACTGCCAGCCCCCTTCCTCACTGCCTGCGGCTGGAGAGCAGGCATCAGAAAAAACAGGTCAGGCACCTCTCTTTTTCTGCTCATGGATACTTTTGAGGAGTGTTGGGGTTCTTGCTAGCCTTGAGAAATACACAACTCACACCCTCAACAGACCTGCAACACAAGTCAAAATAAATAAAAACATAAATATTCCTCCCCCCCCCAAAAAAAAAAAAAAACAACACAAAGCCAAAACCTATGAATATACATTTATATGTTGATACCACGTGTACATTCATTCCTTGTTGGACTGCCCCAGAACTGCTTGGAAAAGATGGTCCACCACCTCCAGTTATTGCCTTTAAGTCTCAACAAAATACCGCAGCCCTCCCAAGGGGCCTCAGCTCCCAAGGGACCACAGCACCTTCTGATGTAACTGCAACCCCAGTAGGAACAACACTAGCAGCAATGTTCATTTCAGTGTCACCATAGTTCTTAAAATGAATACTGCTGAATCAAACACCACTGCTTCATAGGTAACATGTCATATATAAAATGTCATTTCCCACTGTGCCTAAACTTTGGAGTACCTTACTTCAAAGCAGTTTTTTGGGGCATTTTTTAAGCAAACTGGAATCAAGGATGAGTTGCAGCCTTAACCTAGGATTGATTCAGATTCACCCTGGTACTGACTGACAGCCAATTGATACCACAACTGCTAAGAGTCATCTACAAAGCTGGTCTCTGTCTAGTCCCTGAAGCAGCAGGCACCCATACTACAGAAAGCGGTGGCAGGGCTGTGTGAATCACTGTTCGAAGGCAGACTGGTTGGGCCCAACATCAGCCACCAGAGCCAAATGATCCCCTGAAGAGCATTTTATTCTGAAGTCGGACATGTACAGAGCACAGTCAAGGTATACTCTACACAGGACTTTTGTTTCAAGTCCAACAGACACCTCTGTGGCGTTTTCAATTTCTAAATAATGAAAAAAAAAAAACCAAACCACAAACCACACACCTCAGCATAAAAAGCTAGCACAGATCTTCCACTGCCTCCAACACATTTAGTCCTCAAAACCTGGTTTTGTGTTGTTAAGACAGCAGGTTTGCCAAGGTTCCAGGGAAGACTGTTCTGATGAGAAACAGCCCAACCAGACATACTGAACCCCAAAACTTTCATACCCTCCACCTTCTAAGGGTTAGACCCAGAAAACAAGAATTTCCAAGCACAGTGCAGTCAGCTTTCAAGTTGACACAACAGCATTCTAACCTTGGCTTCAGCATCTGCACTCGAGTGGCAATCCAGGCCAGTTAGCACTGGTCATCCTGCTCATCCATGTCTCAGCAGAGCAGCCAGAGCACAGGCAGAGACCCAGCAGCTGAAAGCTTTCAGCTCTTGCACCTACTGCCTTGCAGAAAACCTACCTTCTGCACAGGCTTTATTTGCTTGGCTTACAGGCATAATAAACTGAATGAACAGGCCTGAACTGAATGAATGCATTCCCAACATCCCTCAGAAAAAAAAAGAAAAAAATACAAACCAGGCAAAATTAACTCAGCTTCTTTGAACCCTGCTCCCGTCTCCCTACAAACCCTCTCATCCCATCCAGGGAAGATGCAGTGGTCAAAATGTTCCACAAGACACAAGTGTCACAGAACCCACTTGAATTTGGCTTCAATATAGGTCTTGAAGAAAAAATAAAAAAAAAAAAAAAAGACATCACGCACAAACAATTCTCACATTTAATGCCATGGCACCCTAATTACATTTACAGTACTTTTGTCTCCACCAGATACTGTGTTTCAAAAGTATAACGGGGGGGGGGGGGGGGGGGGGGGGAACAAACATGAAAAAGCACTGAGGTTTTTGGTAAAGTTTTAGAAACTCAACCATTTAGAGTTACATATGCACAAATGCCTTTCAACAAATCGCAAAGAATTGTATTTTTCACCCTCACACTACAAAGAATAATAGGTTTTGATAAGTCTTTTCACAAGATTTGGAGATCAAAGATGGCCCTTGTAAGTCAGGGGTGTCATAGGGTTATGTCAGGGCTTCCAGTGGAGAGCCTGCCATGAAGCAAACACTATAAATAGGCAAAGAATGTGCAAGAGCTCTGAATAAGTGAGAAGCACAGCATGCTTGGCCAGCCTGTGCTCTGACAGCTGTAGTTCTGAAGGCTGATGCCTGAGGAAAGCCTGCCTGAACTTACAAAATCATAGAAGTTCGAGTTGGAAGGGACCTTCAAAGGTCATCGAATTCAACCCCTCTGCAATGAGCAGGGACATCTTCAACTAGATCAGCTTGCCCAGAACCACATCCAGCCTGGCCTTGAATGTCACCACGGATGGTGCATCCATCACCTCTCTGGGCAACATGTACCAGTATTTTACCATGCTCATTGTAAAGATTTTTTTCTTAAGTGCAACCTGAATCTCCCCTATTTTAGTTTAAAACCATTACCCCTCATCCTATTGTAATAGGCCCTGCTAAAAGTCTGTCACCACCTTTCTTACAGGCCCCTATTAAGAACTGAAAGGCCACAATAAAGTCTCCCTGGAATCTTCACTTGTCCAGGCTGAACAACCCCAGCTCTCTCGCCCCGTTCTCATTAGAGAGGTATATTCCATCCATCTGATCATTTCTGTGGCCTTTCTTCAGCTAAATTCTCTTCAAAGCATACCCATCACAGAAAGTCACACAGCCACACATCAGACTACAACACTAGCAAAAGGCTCTCCTTTGGATTTTACCTTGGATCAACCACCAAAAGCAGCAGAAAGGTCACTTGCAGAAGTCACGGGAATAATATGAAGCATTTATTAGTTTACCTATGAGAAGAAATTCAGAACTAATACGGAAGCAGATAAAAATAGGCTAGCTAGAAGTCTTTCTAAGGTACTAAGGTACTGCTAAAAAACTAGCAACCCTATTGTTTTACCATCAGTTTCATACTTCGACATTAAAGAGTTATGGAAAACAAGTACACTTTGTATGAATAAAGTTTGGAACACCCTTAAAGAGGAGAAGCCAGCCTAGAAGCAGGCAAGAACCCTTGATTTTCAACTGAAAGCTGAGCCTGAAAGACAGTGAACTCACAGTAACTTAAACTTAATTTTGGGAGTGGCTGCGTTTCCTACAATTTACAGTGCTCATTTTAGGTTTTATTCCTCTGATTAAGGATTACAGAACTGACCCAACTTCATTAAGTGGAAAAAAAAATGTTTGAAGAAGTCAGTGGTTTGGTTGTAGTAGGAATTTAAATATTCATTCTCTCATGCTTACGAACTGCTTGTCCTGATGTTTCAATTTTTTTTCCCCTTTAATTAAGAAAATATTCACTAGACTAAAGTAGGCATTAACATTTTACCTTTGCATCCTGCTTCTAGAGTTGCCTCCCACATCTATGTTCCAGCAGTCATCATCCCTGAAGGACATTCACTAATACTCTTATATTTAATACTAAAGGCCACGTCCTTCCAGAGTTTTACCAGCATGAACAATTCTCCTCGAACGCATACAGAAATGCCCACTTAAAAACACTTTGTGAAAGAAAGCAATTCAGAACATTAAGTTCTTAATTTGTTCAATTGGATGCCCATATGATATGAATCAGACAGATCACCTGATTCATGCACAGGACTGATGGAGTATATTAAAGAAAAAAATGCAGAAATCTACATGAATTACAACTTTTGGTTGAATCATATATTAATCATACAGAAGAAACTAAAAATCTCTACTTACATTAAAAAAGGGTGGAAATAAACACACTCCAGCACTTTTCCTACTAAAGAATATTGCACATTCCAATAAAGTTGCACAAATTACTGGCTTTTTATAAAGACCATATATGAGGTATTAGTCTATTAATAAATAAAGAAGAACATGGAAAAGGAAAAGCACTTAACATAATGCAACAATCCATTCCAAGTATTTAGTGAGTGAAAACTGAATAAGCAATACTATGTACCCCTTGGGGAAGGTTACTTAGCAAATAGGCAGCTTTCAATATTCATCCAAGAAGTGAAGGGTTAAATCTCTTTTGGTAAGGATTTTAAGAACTCGAAGTCTACGTAGAACACTGCTGTTTAAAATGCTCATTTTGCTCATGCAATCAATCTGAAAGGCAAATTTTTATCGCGTAATTCTACAGAGATGGTAATATGTGGGTGACAGTAATCTTATTAAAGGGAAGCAATTTACAATCATAAACCTGTACTACTAGTTAAGAAATAAATGGAATTTTTGGGTTGACATCAGTTAGAATATTCAGGGTTTTCTTGTTTGCTTTCTTTTGTAGTTTTAAATCATTTATACAGGTCATTCATCTCCATGGTGCTGAAAACTTATGCCCATTTAGTACTGTCCCTATTAGCAGACTGCAGCACCACAAGGCATCAGGTAAATACAATTGTAATTTCCACTTGTACTATGTGTTTATGCTAAAAATTCACCTTTCAAATCACAGTGCTGAAAAATTCCTGATGACAGGTAATAAATCTGTCAATCAAAACAATCTATTTTTTATTTAGGCCCTTCCAGAAACACTAGAAATCTGTAGGCAAGCTTGTCTTGTTAAAGTTCACAAAAACACATAGGAGTATTTAAGTTCAATAAACTGAGCTACAGAAACAACACTGCACACATGGTAATGTAATAGGCATAAAACAAAGAGTGTTTTCGGTGTGCTCTTCCAAACCTGTTTGAAAGATATTTGTATGTTGGAAGGAAAACAAACAAACAAACAAACAAACAAGGCTTTGTGTGCACACAAGCTTATATGCACAAATATCCCTTAAATCTGGGGTTATTCAAATCCTAAAATCTTTCAGGCCAATGAAAGGCTATTTGTAAATAAAAGTAAATGACTACATCACTCTCCTAAGCGAAGCACAATCTTAACATTCTCTCTTGTTATTTTCCAGCTTTAGAAAGTATTTTTTTTCATTAATACATTTGCAATGCTGGACAAAGAGTAAAAAAGACCCAGGTAAGTCATATTTCTGCCACTATTTTGTGTAAATTATCTAACTTGCACAGTAAGTCCTTATCAGGTAAAAACTGCGAGTGCAAACTTGGAAAGATGTGATAAAAAAAGAAAAGCAGCACTTCAAAATTAAAGTATCATCTCCTCTGCTGCAATCCACACACCAGTAACTTAAAGTCCTGAATTGGCATATATGAAAAAAATATATTTCTGAAATTAAAAATACTTGTGTTGAAGTTCAAAATTACAGAATTTACTAAACTCAAATCCATAGCATTTTCTGTCCTGTGAGATTATTTCTCTCCCATTTTAAGTACTTACTGAGACATTTACTTCCCAAATATACGTTGTTTCTATTCTGAAGATTAGTTTCATCTACAATTTCTTTATTGCAGTTAAGTGTTTTTTAGAACAGTTAAGATTTTTTTTTTCCAAGTTAGGACAAAGTTAAGAAAGATCATGAAGATGTTGGAAGAAGAGATGAAAAGAAAGGAAACACTATTGTCCTGAACAGTCTGTGTACGTGGTCACCATGTTTCCTCGTCGCTGAGTGACAGTCCTGCAGTGCTTGCTGGATCCGTGAAACCTGGCATCAGTTCGCACGGCGTGCCGGTGTGCATTTTCAAAGTCACTAAACGAAAACATTTTTTCCATGTTCTCAAACACATCATCAAACAGTCCACCTCCAAAGGAGAACTCTTGGAAAGAACGTCTTTGCCGGTTGTGAGCTTCCCGATGACTCTGGAAGTGATTTTCAAAGTGCTTTTTTGACCGTGAGTTTTGACTGAAGAGATCAAAGTCTTTGAACAGATCGTCAAAGTTGAAATTAAATGACTGACGGTATGGGCTTCCATTATTCCCTTGTCCTCCATGACGGCCAAACTGATCATATTCTCTTCGTTTGTTCTCATCTGATAATGTTTCATATGCTATTTCCAGAAAAAAAAAAAGAAAAAAGAAAAAAGTTTATTTACATTCCCAATTAAAAAAAAACAACAAAACAAAAGACTGAAGGAGAGAGGATGAGTTAGGAAATCTATGCAACAAATGCCTGCATTCCTACAGAAGGCAGAAACACAGTGCAGTGTCTGGAAAACTATTTTCCAGCCAGGAAGTTCTAGTACACTGCAGTTACAACTAAGCAATAAGACAAACATCAAGGAGATAAAGGGAATTAATTTCCCCCATGTCCAAATATTCACTTTTTCAAAAGTTCACCAATAAACCCAGATTTTGTGATTGGATATAAATGAAATAGAACAGTTTCCATTCAGTCTTGGGTCCAGAACTATGGTTATTGGTGCTCTATGGCAGATAATATACCCATTCTGGTAACATTAAGTATTTTGAATGCTTCCATTTTCTCATCCATCAAAGGCTGTCAATTACTTCATATACTTCAACACTTAAAGAGTTCCCAGTTCCTCCTGTAATCAGTGCTGACAGCTGCAGTAAATAAGACCCCTCCTCCTCTTTATCTTCCAAATAAGAACTTTTTCAAAAGAACTCTTCCGCAGGCAAGAAGGTAAACCCCAGAAATCTCTTATTAGCTTAGTCAGGAGTACTACAAACACAGATGTCTGTTATAAGAGAGTCTACGGGGAGCAGAAATGAGAACAGCTTATCTTTTAGCAAGTCTTTTTCTATTCTTGATTATTTGCTTCCACCATTATATTTTATCACTAAACACTTACGAATGATGTATTCCTAGGATCCCAGGATAATTCAGGTTGGACGTGACCTCAGAAGGTCTCATCTCCAGCCACTTGCTCAAAGTAAGGTCATTTATGAGATCAGACTTGGTTATTCAGGGCTTTACCCATTCATGCCTGAAAAATCTCCAAGGCTGGAGACTGCACAACCTTTCTAAGCAACCTGTTCCAATGCTGGCCTATCCTCAAGGTGAAAAAGTTTTTGCTTATAACCACTCTGAACTTCCTGCACCTGTTGTCTCTTGTGCTCCCACCATGAACCACTGAAGCACCCTGCTGTGTTCTTAATCTCCCCCCAGTTACTGGAACATTGCTATTAGGTCCCCCTGAAGACCTAGTAATCCTGAGCTGGATCTTACTAGGCAGATCAAAAGACAAGAATTAACCTCCTAGGGCTACAGTTGTCCTACAACCAGGTATTTTTTGTGACTAGACACATAAGCCAAACAGCCTAAAAACCAGCAACAAACAAGCTGTGTAAAAGGCCTGTCTACATGCAAAGTCACAGAAACAAATCAGATACCGATGCTGGACATTTGACAGCACAGTAGAATCAGGAAAACACAACACTTTTTACTTCTTATTCAGCAAATACAGAATATATGTAAGTTGCCACATTTGCTCACAGATGCAAGCTGTTAAGACTAAGGTTAGCATATATTACCTTCAGCAATTTCTCTAAATTTTGCTTCTGCACCAGGACTCTTATTTTTGTCTGGGTGGTATTTCATAGCCAACTTGTGAAACGCCTTCTTGATCTGGCGGTCAGATGCAGTTTTTGGAACTCCTAAGATATCATAATAGCTTTCTGTAGCCAGTATTAATTCAGTTATCATTAAAATGCAGAGAGCAAACGTGAAGACAGACTGTGTAGTGGCCATTTCTCTAGTTCCTAGAAAGAGAAAGAAATATACTTGAAGAGCAAGTTAATTCACATTCCACAATAATTTAAAGGTGCAACTATAAGCTGGGAGAAAACCTGCACGTTCCATAAGTCACTCAGTGACAGACATGTAAACATGCTGTTACACACATTAACCTCCATTCCTCTGGTTTCATAATCACAGAACATGTAAATGAAAATACTGTAAATTCACTTTTCACATGCATAACAAGCACACTTCAGTGTTCACTTTTGTTTTACACCTACTGTTAAGCGTACATTCTCCCACCAAGCTGTTGAAGTAAATATATAATATATTTCACTGTATCAAACAGTTCATACTGGAATACCTGAATTAGCTTTAAACTAATCCTCAGATTTTAGCACCATAAATGCAGCAGCTCTATCAAACAACAAAAAAAAAAAAACCAACCAACCAAACCTCAATACTGGAAAACCAATTCAATGATTATCTTGTGCAATAATATGAACCTAAAAACACAAGTAGTCTAGAGATCAACTGTGAGGTGCAGGAAGACAAGACTATCAAGACACTCATGCTCAGCTTCAGAAGGTCATTTAAATGACCTAAGGTGACCATGATAAAGAATAAAACCCTCACGTAGAGTACAGAGGTCAGTCAAGTAGGCACATTTACTTTACAATGGGCTAGGCTTAGCTTACTTTCATATTAGATTATACTATAAATAAAAACACCTACCATTTCTTTGATATCACAGAATTCATCTGATAAATAGCACTGCATATAAGGGTTTACATATGACACTCTCAATGGCTGAACTGAACTAAAAAAGTTTTCTAGACAAGACAAGCAGCTTCAACAGCAATTAAAAGTTATAACTATTTTCTTCAGCAATGTATTGGCAAAAAAGTTACAGTGCTATAAATAAGATATAAGAAAAATCAGTTCCACGTAGCCACATGATCTTTTATGCCTTTTATGAAGGACCGGTTGAGCTCTTCCTACCATAAGGAAAGATCAAACAAATTATTTTCCAAAACTCAGAGAATAGAAATATAAAAGTTTGAAGACAGAACACTGGCTGTCACCTGGCCAGCAGGATGTGCGACGAGGCCCTGAACGTACCAGAAGTAACACATCTCCCTCACCAGATTACACTGATTATTTGTGTACCGTAAATACAAACTAAAGAAATGAATGGCATTACTTTTCTGAAAGTTGAATAAATTAACCTCACAGTCCAAGCACCATTAAAGTCAGAATACTTTTAGACTCTGTGTTGCCCAACTATTTTTCACCCAGAGTTCTAACCCTTTGAATACCAGGCACACAAGACAATTAAATCTTTAACAGGAAGGTCTATATCCTCTAAAGAAAATTAACATCCAAGAACTAAAAATGGAAAAAAATACCACTTCTAATAAGTAGGTCAGGGGGCTAAAATGAACATTGTGAGGCAAGAGCAAGAAGCTCATAAGTACCCATGACCCCCTAAGCATTTATTTGGCTAGCAGCCTGCATGGTAGCAAGTGTTAAGGAGCAGCAGTTGAAATAAACTGTATTTCAATCAGCGTATTTTGATACCAAATGAACAGCTACCTTCAATATTCTTCGTGCATGATACCAGGCATATTTTTAGCTCAAGCCTTTCCAAGGCTTTTCCATGTGCCTTCTCTCACCATTTCGCTAACCTGAAACTTTGCCACTTGGACACTAAGAACCCTGTATGTTTACACCCTTTCACACTTCTGGGGCTTTCTTCCTGTCTCTGCTTTATAGATATTGATTTATGCCTTCATCTCACATGTGAGATTGTTTTTATTTAACTTCATTTCCCCACACCTGCATCATGCTTGTATAATCACCTGCTGCATTCTCCTAAGGCTAAACCCCCCACTTCTCCTATTAAACACTGAAAAGAGCTAAAAAGAGCAGCTGATGCCCATTATTGAGCCAAATCCTCTTTTACAACCCCCAAGAGCTGAAGAACCTCAAGTCACTGGTTTGAAAGTTGTTTTTTTTTCCCAACCTTCTCCGCATCTATTATTCCTGATAATTAATTACACCTAAGTTTGCCCTTTTCTGCACTTTTACACTAGGATTTCTGTAATGCAGTTCTATGATATACTGCCCCTAGTTTTATTTGGATTTCTAAAGCATATTTAAAAAAAAAAATCAGTAATTCAGTTTCACTGGTTTGTTGTTTGTTTGGTTGACTTTTTTAAATAATGTAAACAGATTTAATGCTGCCCTTGAACAACTCAGGAAAACTCGAGTAAAAGGAAGTGTAAATGAAAAGCAAATATAACCAAAATTCCAATAAAAGCAGCATTTTAAACTTATAAGGGTATCAGGAAGAAATAGTAAGACACTATAATTAATTATTCAATTTACTTTTAAGAAAATAAGTATCTCATATGCTGTCAGCATCTTAGCATTGCTACTGTTCACATGCTAAATGCCTAACCTCCATCCCACCTCCCCTACTTTCACAACCCCTTTCAAAATAAAGTCTCTTTAAACTCTTGTATTACTTCTGTCTCTTCGCCCTCAGTTTCTCAACAGAAAAGGGCAGTGTTTAACTTCCCAGGCTACGCACAGTAGTTGCTTAAAACATTCCAGAATGTATTAAGTTCTATATAATTCCTGACAATAAGCTCATGTCACTACAGTCTTTCCTAGCAACTATGACAAACTCCATTTTATTTAGGCACATCTATCAATAAAGTTAGAGATTTTATTAATACAGGTTAACTACTTAACGCTGTTAGGTAAGAAGTTACAGATCTCAATTGGTATTCAGCTTGGTATAAGAGGTATAGTGTCTAATATTTATCAGAAGTATCACAGTTCTTCATCAGTTTTTCAATATTATGAATAGCTACACGATGAATTGATGTTTAATGATGATACACCTGGAAGAAAATATGTCACACATAGAAAATAAGGATCCACTTCCATCTGGCAATGCAAATGCCCCATTCCACTCCTCTCTGAAAGTAATTAGCAGATGCTAGGTAAATGCTTATATTCATGAAGTCTTACGTACTCAGAAAACCCACAGTCACTATTACTCTGACCACAGGAACTGTGATACCCTACCTAGTGGAGCCCTAATGTCACAATTATTTTCACAAACAATTTATTGGAACTAAGAAAGTTACTAAAGCCTTCCACTGGTTCTCATATATATAAACCCAATGAGTAAGCAAATCGCCAAGTACACAGCCACCTACATGAAAGGCTGTTAAACATCATGGCTTGTACTTTTCCTGACCTCTCCTCCACTGACCCGAAAGCAAAAGTAGAAGGCTCCCGAGTCTTGCTCTGGAAACGAAACGGAGCCTTCCCCGGCATCATCCTCCCTCACCAGACCTAAAGAACCTCACTAGCGCCGAGCCAACATAGCGAGGCCGAGCCAGGGCTCGGCACACGACACCAGCGACACTGAACGACACTGACCCACCTCCCAGTCAGGCAGGCTTGGGCAAGACCACAGCAAATGGGCCCACGGAGAAGCGAGACCCCGGAGATCAAATACACCCACCAACTCCCAGTATCCTCAACTCCCTCCCCCAGCCGCTCGGCGCACCCGCACCTCTCGGGCCCCTCCGCCTTCCCTCCAGCACCCCCGTGCCTTCCCCAAGCCCTCCCGCAGCGGCCGCCCCGGTCCCCACCGGAGGCGGTCCGGGTCCCGCCGCACCGCTCACCTCAGAGCGCGCTCAGCACCGCCGGCGAGCCCGCTGCCCCTCGGCGGACCGCCCGCCACTCCCGCCCAGCGCACGAAAGCGCGCGCGCGCAGACCTTCCCCCGCGCCCCGACAGCGATTCCTACACGAAGCGCTACGCCATTGGCTGCTCAGCCCCACGTGACTCACCACAGGCCGGCGCCGCCACTGGGAGGAACCTCTTCCCCTGACGGGAGGGGCGGTGGGAGGGGTTATTGCCGCTGTTCTCGGGACTCCTCCCTCCGCCCCCATCCTGCCTGGATGGTTCCGCCCGGGTCTTGGGGCGCTCTGCTCCGCTATGCCGCGGTACTGCGCTGCGTCCACCTGCAAGAACCGGGGAGGGCAGAGCGCCAGGGATCGGAGCAAGCTCAGCTTCTACCCGTGAGTGCCTGCGAAGCGGTGTGAGGGCTGGCCCCGGGCCTGCTGAACGCCATAAGGGGCAGTCCTCGGGTGAGGCGGGGCCCTCAGGAGCCGGGGTGAGCAGTGGGTAAATGACCGAGAAGTAACTCAGGGGCTGGCGGTCGCCTCTGAGCCCTGCTTGGTGCTCTCGTCTCTGGGGAGGAGGAGAAGGCGTAGGACAAAGTGGTCGACAGGTTGAGCATTTAACTGCCCCCCACGAAAGCTGCCAGCACTTCTGGTGGCAGGGGGGATGCAACAGCATGGAAAGGCTCTTGAATAGTGCGAGTATCTGGGAACTGAAAACTGAAGAGATTCGACATTCGCGCTTATAATCGTGAGGCTGTTTAGTGTTAGAGCTAAGTAGCACCGGGTACACTGGTTTTCTGAAGTGTGGCTGCCTTTGTGGTAGGGGTGTTTCAGCAGGGCAGGCATTAGTGGAAGTGTTGGCTTAATGCTAAGGCAGCCGGGTATCCTGCGTCTAACAGCTTGAAAGCCAAGCTAAGGACCCTGCAGAGTAGGAAAGTAAACATACATTGGTTCTTTGAATTTAGATATTCCCACTAGGATTATTATCTTGCAAACAGCGGTATTGCTGGGCTGTTTAGAGGCTCCTAACTAGCTTGGTTGCTAAAAAGCAGTTTACGGTGGCTGAATGGTACTATCCAGCCACCTAATTGATTAGTCACCATTCCAGGCCCCTAGTAACCGGTGTACAGCTGCAGTTACGTGGCTGTTGTTTCCCAGATCCTGAGACCCAGAGTAGTGAGTTAAAAACTGTTTCCCAAACTTAAGAGGAGCACAGTGCAAGTAGCTAAATATTGAAGTGTTTCTGTTGAACAAAAGTGTGATGAGAATTTGTCAACAAAAGGGGTTTTTCTAGCATTTAAGAAAAAATGGAATAAGTTTCACGACTAGCCTCAAAATCTGTTTTAATAAAGTTTAGACCTCAAGCCTTTTGTTTCAGTTTTGTCTCAGTTGCTAAGTAGTCAATGTTATGCCATCATCAGGAAGGCTGTGCAGGAAGACTGCTTTGAAACGGATTTTAGCTTAGATTGAAGAAAAAACTCTTTTTCCTGTTAAGTCTCTTAATATGTGATTCATTCTAAGACAACCATGAAAATGAGGGGAAATAGTTTTAGATAATGTGAGTGCCACATGGATGATCAAAACACATTTACGTGCTAATACATATTTATATGCAGATGTATGGCATCAGTGTAAAGATGACTGCAAAACCACAGCTGTTTCATCTAGCCATTGAATTGTGCTGCTGTGGTCCTGAAGAAGGGGTGCTGAGATTTGATTTATGGAGATCTCTACATTACAACTGATACTGATATGAATTGCAAGTTTTATTGCCTTCCCTCTTACCACCCCAAAGAAGTCCTCTGCAGCTCTGTGGTTTTGGGTCTGAGCCCCTTCTGAACTTTCTAACTGTGACGTAATCTCATGCCCTTCTTTGGTTTATTTCTTCGCCGCTCTGAGTTGTGCAGTGGTGGCAGTTTACTGGATAAATTCTGTCTACTTCCCATTTTACTTTTTTTTTGTGCCTTGTTTACACCAAAGAGCAGATTCTGTTGATGCGTGAGGGGGTATTGAAGCAGGAGCAGGTTTTGACGAAGTCGCCCTGAAGCTAAAATAATGATTTTTGCAATGAGCCATTGTCTCTCACTACAGGTAATTTTGTTTCTCGTGTGAAGCTGACTGACTTGGGAAAGCAGTGAGTGCTGCATTGCCAGAGTAATGGCAGTAGAAGTAAATGTTCTCAAGACCTTGTGGAGAGGGTTTATTTGGTGACATGATCTTCGATCAAAAGAAGACATCTCTTACAGAGCCTTTTTGGACCTCTGTATAGTAACATCCCAGGCTAAGCTACGTTACTCATGGGGCATGCCTTGTAACGTATGCAGTGTTGCTATTGCCTGTACATGATCTAAGGAGGCAGGATTTGGAAAACCAGAACCTCTGAGCTGTCCTTCAGAGGTTATTGTGTTCGTGCCAGCAGTAATCCTTGCATTCTTGCAGATGCTCAGAGCCAGAGGCA